GTTTTTTTTTTTTTTTTTTTTTTTTGGTGCAGCTACTAAATGTGCAATGTGTTATGTAGCCTGGTTTATTATTTTTCTACAAGCTACAAAGCTCATTTGTAGTCCACTTGTATAAGCTCTGTGCTTAGAGGTATAACACAACTATACTATAACTTCAGTATCATAGACAGGTGTTGCATGGTTCTAGGGTTTGTTCATTTCCACTTTCCACTGTAATCAGGACTGCAAATAGTTTCAATAAAGGTGCAGCTAAAATGCGAACGGTTAAATGTTACAATATTGTACATAAAGCCTTGATGATTTCCTCTTTTATTACCACAGATTCACCCATTTTTCTTCATTCTGCTCGGAGATTTCACTGCTGCTTACTAATGTACTCATTTCTTCTATGCCTCGAGGACTAATTTCTGCTTCTTTTGTTTTTCTATATGTGTGTACATTCTTTCTAATAATGCACTGTTGACCTGAATGGTGCCTTATGCAAGTGACTCAGCCCTGTGGTAGCAGTGGTTTGCTCCCTAGGATGTCACATTTGTTGTCTGGGTGATTTGACAAGCTCGATCAAGGCTCAATTACAAACGATCTCGTACCTCCTTTTGCAACAGTTACCTTTGCAGGTGGTTAATTGTGTTGTTAAAATGTAAATGTCGACAAGTACCTACTCTCGGTTGATTGCCTTTTTTTTTTTGGTAGGTTTCTTGGTGTTTGTTACTGAGTCAGAGCACCAGTTTAGTTGATATTTGTCACATTAAATTAAGTCAGACCATGTATATAAAACAAATGCTGTATGTCAAGAGCACTTAAATTCATTTATTAAAGGTGTTAACTACTGTGTAGTATGTACTCCCAGTCCATCTTACACAGCACAAAGGTACAAAATGGCTAGCTTAAATTCTTTTTGTGCTGCTCCTTTTTTCCCCCGGCCCCCTGTGTCCCCTTCCACCCTCTCTCCCTCTCTTTCCCTGTCCCTCCATCCCCTGCAAGTGGGACCGAAGAAAAAAAGCTAAAGATTTATTGTAATTAACAGGCTGCAGTCCGACAGGGCTCGCCTTGTACTGCCTCTCCGTAATGAATTGCTAAAGGCTTTGTTGGCATGGAATCTGTCACAGACTGCTGACTGTGTAGGTTGGTTATTGACCTGTCTGGAGAGCGTTGTTTTAGCCAAGCTGCAACAGTATTATGGAAACCATGGGAGCAAACGGGGAGGGTTGGTGGGGGATGCACGTGGGAATTTGGCCAAAAAAAAAAAAAAACAGATACACTTCTATGAATAAAAGCAGACTTATTGGAGGCAGAGGGGAAATGGATGCTTGACAAAAAAGGGAAGAGCCCGGAAACGATGCCGGGGGTATTTACTGATTAGCGCCTTGGGATGAAGTGATCTGCACCTCCGACTCCAGCTCAGTGACCTAGCAGTTGGAATCCAATGTTGCAGCAAGTTGCACCGTGGCATGCTACAACATATGGATTTCAGATCAACAAACGTACGGGGACGGGATGAGCACAAACTTGAAACTGCTTGCCGTAGTTCATTTGGGAGTGCTGGCGATGCCTTTCTAAGAGAGGGGGGGGAAAAAAGAAAGAGCAGCAGCATCTATTCTGTGAGAACAGCAGCCCGTACCCTTCGAGTTTTTATAATTGAGCCTTGATTTAGCCCCGTGTTTCTGCTTGCATCTTTTCCACCTTTTCCCCTCTCTCCCCCCCCACCACATCATCTCATTCATCCCACTATCCCAACATGTTCTGTCACAAACACGCACTCACAAACTTACACAAGTCTTTGTTCTCAACTGAATCTTTGTATAAAAGAAAAAAAAAAAACTTTTGTAAAACTGTTATGTTTATGCTTTATGAAATTTTTATTTGAAATTGTTTTGCAAAATTGTTATATTTCTGTATGAATGTATTTTTTATTGGAATAATAAGAAATTCTTATCTGACTTTGGCTTGCCTCCTTTGTCTTTGGTATTTTTTTGTGAATTTTATTCTTTTCCTTTTATTTTTTTTTCTTGTGGCCTCCAGCAAGACAGACAGCATCACATTGAAAAATATCTGTCCAATTGGGAAAGGGGCACCTTTGTCCCCTTAAATTTGTTCATGACATGGCCTCCAATCTTCCTGACTTGTAAATACCGGAGCGAAAACATCTTACATTCTCGCGAATGAGTAAATTACATCTTTGCGAAAAGAAACCTGCCAACTTTAGTCTCCTTCGGCATTCCTTTCCCCAAACATCACCCAGAAAAGAATCTATAAATCCTGCCGCAGTTTCTTTCAACTCTTTAAAAATGTCTCGACTGCTCACTCCTTAGAGCTAGCCGGTTTTCATCCAAGCAGTTTAAATAATTTATCTCCATCTCTAACAGCCCATGGCATTTAATTAGAGAGGCGCTTTTATACATTTGTTCGATAATTACTCTACTTGACACAGATAACGACACAAAACAGCAGTGGATAAAGCAAAGAGTCCAGTTTAAGTTACAAAATATGAGGAAAATAAACTAGAAAATTAAAAGGACGCACATACTCCTTCCTCTCTTCCTTCCTTCGCTGTATGTTGATGACCTCAAATGGGCAGGCAACTTATTAGCACCTCTGATTTCTTGCAAAAGCCCTGTGGTTTTGTAAATGAAGCTTTGCCTGCAGTTCGTAATTAGCTCGCTTTCGCCCATCAGCTTCAGAGAGTGGAAGAGCGTTGTTGTTTTTTTTTAGTGCCTGACATGCTTTCTCTTGATCTCTCGAAAACTGTCTCCCTGCTCAATTTGCTAATTTCATGTTTACCACCTGTGCAAAAATGCATGGCTGAAGAGCAGCAGCATGGATTTTGGGGAAAAAAAACTTGAGCTATTTATTTGATCTGCACCCGGAGAAAAAACCCCCGTCGTCTCATATTCTTGCTCTTAACCCCTGCAGCTGGAGTCGGGCACATGTTGTGTTGTGTGCAGCTGACTCACATCCTCAATCTACTGAATAAGTGGAACATTCCCTTGTGATGTGGGCCATCGTGGATGAAGTTTCTCGTAAATGCGGGACTTAAGCTGCATGTTTCCCTTTGATGTGTCCGGCGCGCACATCTGCCCTGTGCTTTTCCCACATTGATAGGCATGGGGCCTGAAGGATTACTGCAAACAATCCATCTTTTTTAGATGTCACACATTTCAATTTAATAACAGGAGGTTGCAGATCTGGGCTTGTGTCCCATGGCAATGTGAAGGGATAGAAACTAGATTTTTTTTTTCTCCAAAATGCATGCAATAGTCATACCGGAATACTGCAATATGAGTTTGGACATTTGCTTATGAGCAGATCTTCGTTTAAGTTCTTAGTGCTTATCGTATTAAAACTGGATAAAGATACAGGCATTGCTCACTGGGGAAACAACTCTGCAGAACGCTTTGAAACAACATTGCAAAATTAATTGGGGTGTTGCTCAGTTTTGCGTTTCCAAAGTTCTGTGGATCCTGCTCTTGTTTAGGTGAAAAAAAATAACCTTCCCCTAAACAGGTCAAAATAACTTATCGGAGTCGGCTGTGTGGGGAAGTTGTTTTTGCGTTTTGATTTAAAAGGTAAAAACTGAAATGAAACGGTTGCCATATTATCTTCAAGTGCTCTTTGGAACATGAAAATGATCAAACCAATTAAGCTCTGCTGAAATTAAACCTCTACATACCTTCCCTTGAAAATGTACGCCAACGCTTCAGCTAATCACAAATCTA